CCCAAGTCAGACTGAGGAATTGGATGATGCCTTTGTAGAACAGATGACCATACACTCAGAAAGGAGAAATGTAGTGGTGATGGGTGACTTCAACTATCCTGATATTTGCTGGAATTCATACTCAGCAAAATCCTCAAGGTCTAGCAAATTCCTCACTTGCCTCAAAGACAATTTCATTGTCCAAAAGGTGGAAGAGGCAACAAGGGAGTCAGCTATTTTGGATCTGAGCCTAACTAACAGGGAAGACCTAGTTAATGGGGTGTAAGTGGTGGGATCCTTAGGTGGGAGTGATCATGTTCTCCTGGAGTTTCTTATACAGTGGAAAGGAGAAGCCAGGCATAATCAAACACTTATTCTAGACTTTAGGAGAGCTGATTTCAACAAACTTAGGGAAACACTAGGAGTCATCCCATGGTCAGGATGGATGGGAGTTTCTCAAAAGGGAGATACTGAAGGCACAATCTCAAACTGTTCCAATGAGAAGGAAAAATGGGAGGTGTCTCAAGAAACTGGTTTGGATGACTAAAGAACTTTCAACTGAACTAAGTTTTAAACAGGAGATGTATAAGAAATGGAAAAGGGGTGAAATCACTAAAGAGGAATTCAAACAAATAGCTAGCACACATAGGGGTAAAGTCAGGAAAGCCAAAGTGCATAATGAGCTCAGGCTTGCTAGAGGGGTTAAGAAAAACAAAAAGGGCTTTTATGGGTATGTCTGTAGCAAAAGAAAGAAGAAGGAAATGATAGGACCACTGCACAGAGAAGATGGCGAAATGCTAAGAGGGGACAGAGAAAAGGTCGAAGTATTCAACGTCTTCTTTGCCTTAGTGTTCTCACAAAAGGAAAAGGGTGTTCTACCTGAGGAAAATGGAGCAGAGGACACAATAGGGGAAATGCAGTACAGAATAAGTAAAGTACAGGAAAGTACAGGTTAACCTAAATGAATTTAAGTCTCCAGGATCAGATGGACTACATCCAAGGATATTAAAAGAAATGGCAAATGTAATCTCAGAGCCACTGGCAATAATCTTTGAAAACTCCTGGAGAACAGAAGTCCCAGCAGACTGGAGGAGGACAAACATTGTCCTGATCTTCAAAAAGGGGAAAAAAGAGGGCCCCAACAACTATCGCCCAGTTAGTCTGACATCAATACTGGGAAAGTTTCTAGAACAGTTCATTAAACAGGGAGTCTGTGAACATTTAGAAGGGAATGCCATAATCACTAAAAGTCAACATGGGTTTCTTAAAAACAAGTCATGCCAGACTAATCTGATCTCTTTTTTGATAAAATTACCAGCTTGATAGATGAAGGGAATGCGGTAGACATAGCATACCTTGATTTTTGACAAGGTCCCCCATGATATTCTTGCAAACAAGATAGTAAAATGTGGGTTAGACAATACAACTGTTAGGTGGATTAGTAATTGGTTGACTGACTGAACCCAAAGGGTGCTCAGCAATGGCTCCTCTTCATCCTGGAGAGAAGTGACCAGTGGGGTGCCACAGGGTTCAGTCCTGGGCCCAGGGCTATTCAACATCTTTATCAATGACTTGGATGAAAGAATAGGGCGCATGCTTCTCAAATTTGCAGATGACACCAACTTAGGAGGAATAGTTAATACCCCAGAGGACAGGATGGAAATTCAAAATGACAATAGATTAGAAAGCTGGACCAAAGCTAACAAAATGAATTTCAACACAGAGAAATG